GCCCCGAGGTCCGCCTCGTCCTCGGGAACTCTCCCTGCCGATGGAAGCAGGAGCGCGCGCAGAACTTGAGGGGCACCTGTGGCTGGTTTCGGCAACCGGCCCGCGGGGCCCGGCGGAGCAGGCGGTCCGGGGTGCCGAGGCTGCGCTGGCTTCTCGGCCTGCCGAGCCCGCTCGGCTGTTGCCTCGCGCTGCTGCTCGGCGCCATGTGTCGCCTCGCCCCTGCCGCGCCGCCTCCAAGACGGAGTGGAGCTTCTCCGACAACGCTAGGGGGCCACATGCGAACCCTACCCCTACCCTCCACGATTTCTGAGGGGGAGGGTGGGGTTCGCTTCGTTCGGGAGCTCACGTGCGAAGTGAACCCCACCCTCCCCCTCAGAAATCGTGGAGGGTAGGGGTAGGGTTCGCATCTGGCCCCCTAAACGCGCGGGCGCGCCGCCAGAGCCTCCGCGGCACCTCGCCGAGCTCTCCCGCCGTGAGCCCCGTCGCCCGCGGCAGGACCTGCCCCAGCGTGGGGAGCTCTCTGCCTCGACCTCCGCAGGCCTGGGAGCTGAGGCTGATGGGCATGGTTTCCACCACCACCACCATAAGTTGGAGGGGGAAGGAGGAGGAGGAGGAGGAGGAGGAGGAGGAGGAGGAAGAGGAGGACCCCCTCCCCCTCCCTTATGGTGGTGGTGGTGGAAAACAGGCCCATCAGAGGCGACCAGCCTGCGCCTGGACTCCTCGAGCTCGACCAGCTCCCTGGTGATCTCGCCCAGCGCCCTGCCGGCCTCCTCGACATCCCTTCTTTCGGGCGAAGAGAACTATGCACATGCACAGGTCCTGGCCAGGCCCATCCTTGGCCCCAGGATCGGTGCATATGCCTTCCTGGCCAAGGCAGGAGAGCGTATGCACCGAGCTTGGGCTCAGGATGGACCTGGCCAAAATCGGTGTATGTGCATGGTCTTTTTCCCCACATCCTAAGTGGGGTTCTTGTTTTCTCTGCACACCCTCCGCGCAGGATCTCCTCCTCCTCCCTCTCCTCTGCTCCTCTTTGCTTCCTCCTCCGCATCATCATCACCATCACCATCACTCCCCACTCATCATCATCATCATCATCATCATCATCATCATCATCATCATCATCATCATCATCATCACCATCAGCATCACCATCACCATCGCACGATCACTCACCATCATCGGGATCGAACGAACATCATCATCATCATCACTACTCGCTGACTCACCACTTCGTCCCCATCATCATCACCACCATTTACCATCAGAATCGCACGATCACTCACCATCACCACTCATCATCACCACCATCATCATCATCATCACGTCGTCATCATCACCACCACCACCACCATCATCATCATCATCATCATCATCATCATCATCATCATCATCATCATCATCATCATCATTATCATCATCATCATCATCACCATCATCATCAATCATATATCATCATCAAACACCGTCGTCATCATCCCATCACCATCATCCACCAAGAGGGAGCCTCGTCTGTGAGTGAATTGTGAGGAAGTCTCAGGCGGGAGCCCCCTCCCTATGGGGCCCGCAGATCATGTTACTAATCCGAGCGGGTCATCGGATTCCTGTAACTGTCGTCACTTTTGGGCTCCTCAGGTCTGAATTTGGAGGAAGTATCAAGCGGGAGCCTCGTCTGTGAGTGAATTGTGAGGAAGTCTCAGGCGGGAGCCCCCTCCCTATGGGGCCCGCAGATCATGTTACTAATCCGAGCGGGTCATCGGATTCTTGTAACTGTCGTCACTTTTGGGCTCCTCAGGTCTGAATTTGGAGGAAGTATCAAGCGGGAGCCTCGTTTGTCAGTGATTTGCGAGGAAGTCTAAGGCGGGAGCCCCCTCCCCTATTGGGCCCGCAGATCATGTTACTAATCCGAGCGGGTCATCGGATTCCTGTAACAGTCGTCACTTTTGGGCTCCTCAGGTTTGAATTTGGAGGAAGTATCAAGTGGGAGCATCGTCTGCGAGTGAATTGTGAGGAAGTCTCAGGCGGGAGCCCCCTCCCTATGGTGCCCGCAGATCATGTTATTAATCCGAGCGGGTCATCGGATTCCTGTAACTGTCGTCACTTTTGGGCTCTTCAGGTCTGAATTTGGAGGAAGTATCAAGCGGGAACCTCGTCTGTGAGTGAATTGTGAGGAAGTCTAAGGCGGAAGCCCCCATCCTATGGGGCCCGCAGATCATGTTATTAATCCAAGCGGGTCATCGGTTTCCTGTAGCTGTCGTCACCTTTGGGCTCCTCAGGTCTGACTTTGGAGGAAGTATCAGGCGGGAGCCTCGTTTGTGAGTGAATTGCGAGCAAGTCTCAGGCGGGAGCCCCCTCCCTGTGGGGCCCGCAGATCATGTTATTAATCCGAGCGGGTCATCGGATTCTTGTAACTGTCGTCACTTTTGGGCTCCTCAGGTCTGAATTTGGAAGAAGTGTCAAGCGGGACCCTCGTCTGTGAGTGAATTGTGAGGACGCGTCAGGCGGGAGCCCCTTCCTCATGGGGCCCGCAGATCATGTTACTAATCCGAGCGGGTCATCGGATTCTTGTAACTGTCGTCACTTTTGGGCTCCTCAAATCTGAATTTGGAGGAAGTATCCGCCGGGAACCTCGTTTGTCAGTGAATTGCGAGCAAGTCTCAGGCGGGAGCCCCCTCTCTGGGGCCCGCAGATCATGTTAGTAATCCGAGCGGGTCATCGGATTCCTATAACTGTCGTCACTTTTGGGCTCCTCAGGTTTGAATTTGGAGGAAGTATCAGGCGGGAGCCTCGTTTGGTAGTGAATTGCGAGCAAGTCTCAGGCGGGAGCCCCTCCCTATGGGCCCCGCAGATCATGTTATTAATCCGAGCGGGTCATCGGATTCTTGTAACTGTCGTCACTTTTGGGCTCCTCAGGTCTGAATCTGGAAGAAGTATCAAGCGGGACCCTCGTCTGTGAGTGAATTGTGAGGACGCGTCAGGCGGGAGCCTTCCTATGGGTCCCGCAGCTCACGTGGTTCCTCCGGGTCATCCTCCGGCGCGCGCTTCCTCTGGGTCGTCCTCCGGCGCGTATCGGCTGGGACGCACGTCGTGCGCTTCCTCTGGGTCGTGTTCCGCACGAGGACGAGGAGGAGGAGGATTGCCAGGAAAAGGAGGAGGGATGATGCAGGACGAGACAGGAAAGCAGGAAGAGGAAGAGGCTGAGGGGAGGAAGGACGAGGAGGAAAAGGAGGAGGAGGAATGCCCGAGGAGGCCCCAGTAGGTCCCGGAAGGCCCAGAAGGCTCCAGGAGGCCCCAAGAGGCCCCAGGAGGCCCCAGGAGGGGGCAGGAGGCCTAAGGAGGAGGCAGGAGGAGGAGGAGGAGGAGGAGGAGGAGGAGGGGGGGGAGGAGGGGGGAGGAATATGGAAACGAGGAGGAGGGAGGAGGAGGAGGAGGAGGAGGAGGAGGAGGAGGAGGAAGCGGATGAGGGAGAAGGAGAGGAGGAGGACAGGGGATGAGGAGGAGGAGGAGGAGGAGGAGGAGGAGGAGGAACAGAAGGGAGAGGGAGAGCAGGAGGAGGAGGAGGCAGGAGGCAGGAGGGGCAGGGGGAATGGGGGGGAAGAAGCATAACGAGGGGGAGGGGGAGGAGGTGGAGGAGGCAAGAAGAGGAGGAAGAGGCAGGGGTTGAGGCAGGAGGAGGAGCAGACAGGAGGAGAACGAGGAGGCAAAAGTAGGTGGGAGAAGGGAAGGGGCAGGAGGATACCCCCATGCAAGCTAAAGAGATTCTCATGTGGGGTCCTTCCGTCGGAGTAATTCTTTTATTCTTGGCGCCCTCAACCTTCTGCCGAACAGTTCGCGGCACACCTTCCTGCTTCTTGCGCTTCTTGTCCGGTCGCCGGTGATGGAAACCGATGTCTTTGAGCCTCGTTTCCAGCGGTTTTCCCTCAGACAGCTGTTGCTTGAGATGAGCTTGCTGCTTCGCACGAAGCTTGTCGCATGTTGCTGTGATCTCGGGGTCGGCGAGAGTTCCTTGATAGCCTCGATGCTCGATGATATCTCGGCCCGCTGCTTGCGTGCCTCACTGTCTGTTCCGATGCCCGTGCTGCCCTCGTCGACCTCCATGGAAAAAACTCGCTCGGGCCGTGGCGGGCTGGCTGGGGATCGGAGCCTCTTCTCCAAGCTTTCCTTGGCTTGCTTGAGCTCTGTGGCTGTGGCGGCTGCTGACCCTCCTGTCGAGGTAGACGGCACAACTGGACGAGAGGGTAATGCTGGAGCCCGATGTCTTGCTAACGCTGTGGCCTTGCCCTGATCGAGGCCCGCCCTGTTCCACCACCGCTCGCCCGTCGAAACAGACCAACAGTGCTTTTGCAGTACCACGGTGGCGCCCATGCCTGGCGCCTCGCTTTGTGACCAGAAACTGCCACTTTTGCCATCGCGCCGGGGCCGCGTCCGAGACGCCTGTGGTTCAAACGGTTCGCAAAGGTGCGCGGGCCAGAACCGCAGTGCCGTACCGAATATGGGAAGTCGTGAAGAGTGGCACCTTCTGCCTGGGCAGGCCGCTGGGAGGCGCGAAGCTGTCGGGGGCCGCGTCTCCCCCTTGCCAGAATGCCAGGTCCTGAGCGAAACGCTGCAGACTGGAGCCAAAATGGCTACGGACCTGAGGGGGAGGACGAGCATGCGGAGGGCGGGCGGGCGGGCGGGCGGGCGCGCGCGCGCGTGCGTGCGTGCGTGCGTGCGCGCGCGGGCGCGGGCGGGGAAGCGAAGACGAGGAGGGGAGCGCGGGGATGAGGAAGTCGACAAGGACGACGACGACGCACGCCAGCGACGACGCCGGCGACGACGAAGACGGTGACGTCGGCGACGACGACAACGAAAACACCGAAGGCGACGACGAAAGGACCAACGATGGCGGAGTAATCGACGGCGGCCACGGCGACGTGTGCAGGACGGCGCCGGCGACGGCGCTGGCGCGGGCGACTTTCGGCGGGCGGCGAGCGGCGGCGAGCCCGAGCCCCGAGAGAGCCGAGGCCATCCAGCACCTGTGCCCAGGCCACCCGGGAGGCGGCCCTCCGCGCGCGGGATCGCGTCGGCGGCCGTGCCGGCGACGGCGGCGCAGGCGACGACGACGGCGACGACGGCGGAGGCGACGGCGACGTTGCCAATGACGGCGGCGGAGTCAGTGGCGGCGGCGGCGACGGCGGCGTTGGGCGACGGCGGCGCCGACGGACGCCGGCGCCGGCGCTGCCGACGAAGCCGCAGGCGGCCGGCGCTGCCAGCGGCTGCGGCAGCGATGGCCACGGCGGCCCAGCACGGGGGGGAACGGGTCCCGAGGGAGGCGGGTCCCGAGGTTTTTCGCCGTGGGCTTCACTCAGGAGGGAAAGATGCACACAGACACAATTTCATCGTCGACTCCCGGCACATATGGGAATTGGGGGGCAGGACACAGACCCAGAAACTATGGGAACACATGGGGAATCCTGTTATTTGTTTTGTGGTATATTAATTTGTGTGTCCCGGGGGCCCCTTCACTCACGGGGTCCCCAGGGCCGTCAGAGAACGACGCAGGAGGACGACCTGGTCCTGGGGGAGGGCCCCCGGGCCCGGGCCCCGTCTCCCTCGGGGCCCGTGGTTCCCCCGGGCTGCGCTCCTGCCCTGCTGCTGCGCCCTTTCCACTCCACCAGGCCCCCCCTTGCGTCGTGAGCAACGTCACGACTCTTTGGTTGCCATTTTCGCAGGGGCGCCCTCGAGGGCGCGAAGTTACTCGCGCTTCGCGGTTCGGCTCCGACTCCTCCTCACCCTCCTCTTCTCCCCTGGGAGGCGGCGCGAGGGCGCGAAGTTATTCGCGCTTGGCGCTTCGCGCAGCGCGAAGCGCGAAGTTGGGAGCCCTTGTTTTCGGGGGCGGCGAAAAAGGGGGGTGATGATCAGGGGGGGGGGGAAGTCATGGCGGGGGCCATGGGTATCTCCCCAGGTCTCAGGGCGCCCCTTCTCACTCGAGTGCGCCCCCATGCCGCCGGCCATGGTTTGCGCCCCCCCCCCCCCCTCTCTCGAACGACCTCCTCGTGGCCGCCGCCGATATTTTCTTTGGGGCCCCAGGGGGCCCCCTGCCCGGCCCTGGAAGGGACTCGGGGCGCCTGGCCAGTCCCAGGGCTTCAGGGTCTGGACTTTGAGTCGGGCCTGTCCCTCTACAGGAGGAATGTTCAAAAACCGTCAAAAATTGTCAGGCGACCATTTTTTATTACCTAACAGCGAAGACTGATGGTTTCTAATGGTGTCAAAAGAGAGCATCTTGACTCCCCAGGGGGGTCTGCGCGGGTGCCGGGGAAAACCGCGGGCGGGCGTTTCGCCTGAGACTTCCTTGCATTTTATGCTGGAATGGTGCTCTCGCCTAGGCCCCGGCCACATTTTGCTTCAGAATCACGCTCTCGCCTGAGACTTCCTTATATTTAATGCTGGACTCGTGCTCTCGCCTAGGCCCCGGCCACATTTTGCTTCAGAATCGCAGCAGGCTGATGCTGAGGCAGGCTGAGGCTGAGGCTGAGGCTGATGCAGGCTGAGGCTGAGGCAGACTGAGGCCGCAGGACTATGCGGGAGCGCAGCAAACTGAGGCTGAGGCAGGCTGAGGCTGAGGCTGAGGCTGAGGCTGAGGCTGAGGCTGAGGCTGAGGCTGAGGCTGAGGCTGATGCAGGCTGAGGCTGAGGCTGAGGCATGCAGGCTGAGGCTGAGGCAGGCTGAGGCCGCAAGACTATGCGGGAGCGCAGCAGGCTGAGGCTGAGGCAGGCTGAGGCTGAGGCTGAGGCTGATGCAGGCTGAGGCTGAGGCAGACTGAGACCGCAGGAGTATCCGGGAGCGCAGCAGGCTGAGGCTGAGGCAGGTTGAGGCTGAGGTTGAGGCTGAGGCTGAGGCTGAGGATGATGCAGGCTGAGGCTGAGGCAGGCTGACTCCGCAGGACTATGCGGGAGCGCAGCAGGCTGAGGCCGAGGCAAGCTGAGGCTGAGGCTGAGGCTGATGCAGGCTGAGGCAGGCTGAGGCTGAGGCTGAGGCTGAGGCAGGCAGGCTGAGGCCGCAAGACTATGCTGCAGGCTGAGGCTGAGGCAGGCTGATGCTGCTGAGACTGATGCAGGCAGGCTGAGGCTGCAGGACTATGAGGCAGGCTGAGGCTGAGGCAGGCTGAGGCTGAGGCTGAGGCTGATGCAGGCTGAGGCTGAGGCAGGCTGAGGCCGCAGGACTATGCGGGAGCGCAGCAGGCTGAGGCTGAGGCTGAGGCTGAGGCTGAGGCTGAGGCTGATGCTGAGGCTGAGGCTGAGGCAGGCTGAGGCCGCAGGACTATGCGGGAGCGCAGCAGGCTGAGGCTGAGGCAGGCTGAGGCTGAGGCTGAGGCTGCAGGCTGAGGCTGAGGCAGGCTGAGGCCGCAGGACTATGCGGGAGCGCAGCAGGCTGAGGCTGAGGAGGCTGAGGCTGAGGCTGAGGCTGAGGCTGATGCAGGCTGAGGCTGAGGCAGGCTGAGGCCGCAGGACTATGCGGGAGCGCAGCAGGCTGAGGCTGAGGCAGGCTGAGGCTGAGGCTGAGGCTGATGCAGGCTGAGGCTGAGGCAGGCTGAGGCCGCAGGACTATGCGGGAGCGTAGCAGGCTGAGGCTGAGGCAGGCTGATGCTGAGGCTGAGGCTGATGCAGGCTGAGGCTGAGGCAGGCTGAGGCCGCAGGACTATGCGGGAGCGCAGCAGGCTGAGGCTGAGGCAGGCTGAGGCTGAGGCTGAGGCTGATGCAGGCTGAGGCTGAGGCAGGCTGAGGCTGAGGCTGAGGCTGAAGGCAGACTGAAGCTGAGGCTGATGCAGGCTGAGGCTGAGGCTGAGGCTGAGGCAGGCTGAGGCTGAGACTGAGGCAGGCTGCTGCTGAGACTGAGGCAGGCTGATGCTGAGGCTGTGACTGCGACTGCCGTTGCCACTGCGACTGTTGCCACTGCGACTGTCATCGCGAATGCGACTGCGACTGCGAGAACAGCAGAATTCTACAACTGGATTCTCATCTGAATCTTCAGGGGAATGCTTCCAGATATGCTTCTGCACATCGCTGTTAGGTTGCTTTGCCGGGATAATCACTTTTTGGAAATTCTGGTGCATGTTTCGACTATTGATTATTTTTCGTCGAAAATCCCCCTTGTAGGGGAACATGCCCGACGTAAGTCTAGACCTCTGGGGTCCGCGCTGCGAGAAAACCACGACGTCGGGGGTCTCCGGACTGGGCTACGACGAGGATGAATCTGCTCCAGAGCGTTTTGGAGCGCTTTCAGAGCGTGCTGGAACGCCCTGAGAAGGCCGCGGCGCCCGATACATCCTCCAGAGCTGCCGCATCTCGATGTTCCGCCACAAACAAATATGCACAGACACCCTCCAATGGATTGTTCCTGGGCCTCAGGGGATGCTGGCGGTGTATAAATCACCACTGGGTGCCAGCGAGTTTATACACCGCCGCCCTCCCTGAAGGTATCTGCAAAGTTCGTCGGAGGGTGTCTGTGTATACATTTTCGTGACGTAGACTTCTCCTCGCCCGATGCTATGCTAGTCTTGGGTTCGTCTCAGGTCCGGGTCTCTCTCTCCCCCCCCGTTCCTTCTCCCCCGTTCCCTCCTTCCCTCCTCCCTCTCGTTCCTCCCCCGCTCCTCCCTCCTTCCCTCTCGTTCCTCTCCCTTTCTTCCTTCTTCCCTCCTTCCCCCCGTTCCCTCTCCCTTTCTCCCTTCATTTTATCCTCCCTCTCGTTCCTCCCCCGATGCTCCCTTTTTTCCAGCCGCGCTCCCTCGAGTCTCCCTCCCCCCCCTCCCAGGAGGGAAAGAAATGGGACACGAACAAAAAGAATCGGCGATGCCCAGGACAATATATGGAAAATGTGGGAAGCGGATGGGGACGACGAACCTCCAGGAAATATTGGAAATAAGGAGAGGATTCTAGGAGTTGTGTCTATTTATTTGTGTATCTCTGGGCTCCTTCCCTCTCTCGTCCCTCCCTCTTTCCTCCATCCTCCCCCCCTCGGTCCTGCTCGGAACGTCGGAATGCGCTCCCCCGGCTGACGCACTCAGACGCGCGCTTCTCAGGACAGTCGAGCCAATTGGAACCGACCCAGACATCGACGTGCTGATTTTTGTCAGCGCCCGTTATCCAGAAGTGCCGACCCTTTCCCCATGGCCAGTTTAGTTTGTCATCCCGAGCCGTCATTTGACGGTCCTGGGACCTGGCGAGGGCGACCAACCACCGCCCGTCGTGTGTTTTCGCGACGCGAGCATGGCGATCGAGGGATACCGCGCCCTCCTGCGTCTCCTGCCATGCAAGCCGCCACTGCGCATCGCAACTCGACCGGAGCCCAGGACCCCATCCTGCTGCGGCACTCTTCGAGCCAGGTCGATCCGTGAGGGTCCCGCGGCCCGAAGCAAGGCAACCTCGCCCGTTGCGGCAAGAGCTGCGACGCCGGGTTCTCGGGGCCTCCGTCCTCGCGGGCCTCCCTCCTCCCCTTTCCCCTCCGCCTCCTCCTCCTCCTCCTCCTCCTCCTCCTCCTCCTCCTCCTCCTCCTCCTCCTCCTCCTCCTCCTCCTCCTCCTCCTCCTCCTCCTCCCCCTCCCGCCCGACCGCGCAGGCACCCGGGCCGTGGCCGTCTTCTTCCCCGGGGTCCACGGCGGCGTCGGCCCGTGCCCCGCCGCCCCCCGCGGGCCGCGCGAGCCTTCGCGCCCGCGGGCGCCCCGCTGTCCTGCGGCCCTCGGGGAGGGGGATCGCGTGCCGGGCATCGAGGGGGAATCGAGGAGCCTCGAACTTGATATTATCCCTATCCCTAAGTTTGACACGCCAAAAGGCGATGACAATCTTAGGGACGCGCCCACAAAACCAAGGGGAATCCCTGAGATTGGCATCGTGATGAGGCGATGCCCAGCATAGGGATCGGTAGGGCAACAAAAAGTGGCATAAACATCACAACTCGGAGGTCCGCGCGGATTTCTCGGATCGGCGCTGGAGCCCCCTCCCTGGCGCGCGGAGCGCTCCAGGGGCGGC